TTTTCATAGAAAGGCATGAATATATGAACAGGCCCCTGATCAAGGTCACAACTGCTGTCCTCGGATTGTACATCTTCTTCGATTCTATGGAAGGTTTTCACTGCAGTCCTAATCATCACTGCAGATGGTCTCCTTTCATGTCCTTATACTGCACCATCAATGGCTATACATTGAATGAAGGAATCACTGAAATCACAGTAACTGTAAGCAGTAGAAGGGACTGAAGCTAACAGATATTCTGATTACGTTCAAATAAAAGTAGCATGAATCAGCAAATCCTGAAATATGTTCGTACACTTTTTACAGAAACGTTCAAAATGCTTTTTTCAGCAATTTTTTCAATTGTATGTCTATAATCTTAAGCATAATTTCGTACAAAAGAAATACAAGTCTTGAATTGATAGACCTGGTTGTGATCTCTGCATTGCTGAGGCGCAAGAGGTGACCCGTGCATGGCTTATTCTACTGCTTTGCTTTCAGTCGATCAGTCAAAGAAAGACTCCATGCTGGTAACCCATAGAACTTTACTAAGAGCATGGTTCCCACTGTAATCCATCTGCAACAGCCTGGTTCAATATCAAGCAGTGCAAACCTCATCCTGCAAGCAGATACTGTTGGTGACTTCGGTATAATCTTTTTCTCCATAATATATATATTTTTATAATCATTAAAGAGCAGGTATGTGATCATACTTGGGCTACCAAGATAATAGATTTTGGCATTTCAAACACTTTTTTTTAATTGTTCAATAATAAAAGGTTTAAATGAAACGGACACGTCCATTTTATCTTTCAGCCAAATTCTGATTCCCGGTTTAGACAGCAGGCTTGTGAAGGACAGTTCAGGCGCAGCTTTCAGACTATAGTAACCACTTTAAACCCCTATGTTTATTTTCAACCAGGCTCAATCACCAAATCCCCAACAGTCCCATGCCCGCAACTGTCCAGAAGGAAGGAGGAGCACTAATGGTCTACTGTCTATTTTGCATATGCAAAACTTAATGTTTATTTGAAACCTTCAACACTGTCCAGAATGTATTTTAAGGAACATTTCTTCATAGTGTTACTTATTTCCGGTCACTTCATTTATATTGCCTAGAAAAGAGAGAAGCATTGGGTGACTGGTGTAGTATGTAGCTTCCAGCCAACAAAATAGTGATGCAAGCAATACACATTAACATCACAACTTAAAGCTGAAAGGTGTAGGAGCAAGCTTAAGCTACAACAGTTCAACAAAGTACTTTACACTAATGGGCCAAACAATCAACTTTTACATCTACAATTTAGGAGAATGCCATTTTATATTTGTACACCTGAACTAAAGTTGTAAGTTAAACCTGTTCTCACTAGTGCCTTGGTAATGCGTGGAATCAGCATCACAATTACTGTTTCAGTAAATAGTACCTACAGGCTACAGCACTAGTATTGTGGTCCTTTGAAAAGGCAGCCAACATGTAGTCATTTTAGGTACAGATTTCACTTAGAAACAGAGAACACCGATAGTACAGATAATACAGCCTTTTGTGGCAGCTGGTGGCAACTGAACCAAACATGCTTTCCGATGGACTAAAAAGCTTGTTATATTAGGTACTTTTAAAGTGCCAGCAGACACACAATATACCTGCCAACAATATACTTTGTAAAGCTGAACTCCAGGCAAACAGCTAAATACACTGTCAAAACACATATCACTGCAGTTTTACCCGGTAAAAGATCTCCGATTCTGATCTGCCAAGTCTTGTAATCCAGGTGCCCCGGTGTCTGCACTATTCTCCATTATAGGGAAGCAACTACTTGGTTACTGCGCTGCTCCCAGAATGCTGATTGGACAGTAAAAGGGAAGCATAACTACTCACTCTGCTCTCTATCAGCAATCTCCCAGTGTTAAATTGCCAGCACTGTACTGTGCGGTAGAGTATGACTGGTTCACACTACAGCCCCCCCAACTCCCAGAGTCCTGCTGTGTAGGGGATTAGAGGAAGCTAAAGTATGATGCAAGTACCAATTAAAAATAAATGTAATATTTCTAATCGGTACATAAATTGGATACAAATATGGTATTCTCTACCTAAATGTGCACTATATATGACCTAAGTCTTCAAAAGACCATTAGATTTACTACAAATGTAAATGTATAGTCTTGCCAGCACAGATTTAAAGAACTGTCATTGCATTGCAAGTTTGTGTATTAAATTTGAATCCAAGAGTTTTCACGTGGTGCAGTTATTTAGCTCAGATAACTTAAACACTGGTCACAGCAATATGCTAAAACTGCAGGTCATACCAGACCCATAGCTAGCAGAGTGTTATCCTGTAAAACCATTCTACCTTTTCATTTCAATTTAACATTTTTCCCTCCTCATTTAAAAAGAGCATTACTGTAAATAGAGAATTAGATACACATGGGTCTCACCTCAAAAGCCGGTGGCTCCAGCCTCCCAGTGCTTCTGGTGGTAACTGCTTGAATACTGTATCAACTGTTGGGCTTACATGCAATATTGTCCCTTGCAAATAATCAATCAGACCCGCACACAATCCCCTTTCATCAAACATGAACATTCACTATTCAAGTGCGTGCTGTATGATCCCACCATTGCTGTTGCAGCCACAGTGCATGGCATGGAGTTGCTTCTGATCCGCTCTACTTTAGTAGAGATGAATACAGCATAAGCGTATCATACAAACACGAAAATGTTGGCATTGTCTTTCAATGTGATCATTTACACTCCATACTCAGGATTATAGCACAATTCTGAAACATGATTCATGTAAAACGAGGGGATGGATATGGATATGGATATATATTTATATATATATATAT